TATTTATTTTATATAAAAGATTTATAAGGCAGGCTTACAATGGCTTCCTGAAGAATCAAGTATAGAAGAATGCAGAAGGGCCATCTGCAATCTGGAGAACTGGAGGACACAGTCAAAAGTCAAAGGTCTGAAGCTTACTGCAGAGTCCCAAGCAAGACCACATTGGGAAGGTGATGGGTCAGGAAGGCTGAAGAGTCTTCACTGAAATCCTGGATACAGACATCCAAATGCAATGGCCAAGACTGGAAGTTTTTGGAAGAAGCAAAGCCAAGACCTCCTTCTTTCCCCTTTAAAGCTACAACCACAGGCAATTTAAAAGCCTCAATGCAGAAAACAAACAACAATAACAACAACAAAAAAAAAGCAAGAAAGAAAGAAAGAAAGAAAGAAAATGAGAAAACATAGAAGCAAGATGCAACCCAACACCCCCAATTTGCCCAAGGCAAATCCAAGGGACAATGAGGCAGAAGAAACCAAAAGCCGCCCAGCTGAACTTTCTGAAATGCTAATAGTGTAAGTAACAGAATAGATGAATAACTCTCTGGAAAGAAAAAAAACAAAACACAAATAATTAGAGAAACAATGACTATAATGAAGGAAATGGTTACTGAAACTAGAATAGATACAGAAAAAAAATGGAGGAGTTTAGGAAAACAGGGAAACTATGAACGCTCAATATAGGAAAGAACTGGATGCTATAAAACAGATTCAAAAAGATATCCAGGAGATTAAAACTTCTATTTAAAGTATACACAGCACAACTAACCAATGGAAAGATGGAATATCAGATTTAGAAGGCAGTTTTATGGTTGGTGATGATCAAATGAAAGACTTAAATATAGGAAGAGACAATGAAAAATCAATCCAACATCTCACAATGCAAAGAAGAATCCAAGATTAATTGCAATCAATTAAAAATTAGAAGATAGCACAAAGGACATAAAAACTTATTCACAGAAGTAATAGCAGAAAACTTTCCAAGCATGGAAAAACAACTTAACATACAGCTACGTGACATATGATTGTAAAAACAACTTAACATACAGCTAAGTGAGGTATGATCTGAAAAAAACTACACCAACACATGTCAAGATTCCAGAAATTCAACACAAGAACAGTTTGTTAAAAGCTGTTAGAGAAAAGAAACAAATCACCTATAAAATAAAACACACCAGAATCACAGCAGACTTCTCAACATAAGGCCTTAAAGAAAGTTTGAAGTGAAGTATTTTAAATCCTAAAAGAAAACAACCTTCAATCCAGACTGATGTACCCCACAGTTATCTTTCACAATTGATGAAGAAATAAGATACTTCCATGACAAAGAACACTTGACAAAATTTATGAACACTAAACCAGCACTCAAAACATTTCTGAAGGATATTCTAGAAAAAGTATAGACAACAATTCCAAGGCTCCCAATAGAATGAGCCCACCAGGCAAGGCAAGCAATTAAACAAAAGGGAAAGAAAGGAACCAACAACAGGAAAATAATATAATGATAAGATAAATCAATTCCTATAACCATCAGTGTGAATGGTCTCAACTCACCAATCAAAAGAAAAAGACTGGCAGAATGGATCAAGAAACAAGACCTAACAATATGCTGCATACAAGAAACACACTTAATTAAAAAATAAATTCATAGACTGAAAAATCAAAGGATAGAAAACAATATTCCATTCAACAGGAACCTGGAAAAAAGCAGAGATAGCTATTCTATTTGCATATAAGCAAGACTGATCAAAAAATACAAAGAAGGTCACTGCATAGCTGTTAAAGGGATAATCCAAGAGGAAGAGATAACAATCATAAACATATATGCACCAAATTCCAGTGCAGCCAACTCTGTAAAACACTAATGAATATGAAAAAAATCAGATAAGCACTAATACATTGTAATGGGGGACATCAATACCCCACTGTCACAAATACACAGATCAACTGGACAAAAATACCAACAAAGAAATATCAGAGCTGAACCAAGCCTTTGAATAAATAGACAGTAAATATATACAGGATGTTCTACCCAACAACAGACTACACATTCTTCTCAGCAGCACATAGCACGTTCTCCAAAACAGACTACATATTAGCTCACAGAACATGCTTAAGTAAATGCAAAGAAACTGAAATTATTCATGCACATTATCAGATCATCAAGGAATGAAGTTAGAAATAAAAAGCAAAAGAAACCACAAAAACTACATGAACACATGAAAATTAAATAATACCTTTGTGAACAAACAATGGGTCACAGAAGAACTTAGTTTCTACAATTAAATAATAATGCTGATACAATATACTGGAACTTATGGGAAGCAATGAAAGCAGTTCTATGAGGGAAATTGATAGTGGTAAAGTCCCACATTAGAAAAACAGTGAGCTCAAATAAATAACCTAATGTTGAACCTCAAGGTTCTAGAAAAACAGCAAGTTAAACTCTAGGTTCACACAAGGAAGGAAATTATAAAGTTCACACAAGAAATTAACGCAATTGAGACTAAGAAAACAACACCAAGAAATCAGTGAATCAAAGAGTTGGTTTTTAGAAAGCTTAAATAAAATAGGAAACCCTTAGCCAACCTTATCAAAACACAGAAAGAAAAGACCCAAATCCACACAATTAGGAATGAAAAGGGTGAAATCACAGTGGAACCTGCAGAATCCAGAAGATCATCAGTACCTACTTTGAGAACTCATATCCTAATACAATGGGAAACTCAGAAGAAATAGATTCCTACATATAAATTACCAAAGCCGAATCAAGAAGATATAAAAATTCTCAACAACATAATATCAGTCTATGAAATTGAAGAAGTATTAAAAAGTAACATCAACAAAGAAAAGGCCAGGTCCTGACAGGTTGACTGTTGAATTCTTCAAGAACTTTAAAGATCTAATATCATAATCCTTAAACTCTTTAATGAAATTGAAAAGGAATAAATACTCTGAAAGTCATTCCTAGAAGCAAGAGTTACCCTAATACCAAAACCCGAGAAAGATCCAAGCAAAAAAGAGAGCTACAGCCCAATCTTCTTAATGAACATACATGCAAAAATCTTCAATAAGATAGTAGCAAACAGAATTCATCAAATCATCAAAAAATTATATACCATGACCAAGTAGGGTTCATCTCAGTGATGCAGGGATGGCTCGTTATGTCCAAATCAATAAATGTAATACACTAGATTAACAGAACCAAGGACAAAAACCACATGATCATCTAAATAGATGCAGAAAATGCATTTGACAAAGTCCAGCACCCATTCATTGTAAAAACCCTACAGAAAATTGTAATACAACATCTTTAACTCAATATCATAAAAACCATCATTGCAAACCAACAGCCAACATTATACTAAATAGTCTAAAACTGAAAGCTTTCACTCTAAAATTATGAACAAGACATGAATGCCCACTATCACTATCCCGTTTAATATAGTTCTGGAAACATTAGCCAGAGCAATTAGACAAGACAAAACTATAAAAGGATTATAGTTAGGAAAGGAAAAAGTTAAATTATCATTTTTTGACAATGACATGATTCTCTTCATAGAAGACCCCAAAAACTTCCCCTAAAGACTCTTAGAATTAAAACCAAATTTGGTACTGTAGCAGGTGACAAAGTCAACACTCAAAAATCAATAGCATCTTCTACACAAAGAACAAACTAAGATAAATATTAGGGAAACAACATCACTTAAAATAGCATCAAGAAAAACAAATAGGAATTAAGAAGCAATCTAACAAAAAAGGTGAAGGATCTATACATTGAAAACTATAGTACTCTGAAAAGGAGATCGAAGAGGATATCAGAAAATAGAAAAAGATATCCCTTTTTCTTGAGAAGTACATAGAAAAGTGTTCATCTTTAGCTGTTAAAGAAATGCAAATTAAAACAACATTTAGATTCCATCTTATCCAGAAAGTATGGCTGTCATCCAGGAACTCAAAATACAACAAAGGCTGTCAAGATTGTAAGGGAAAAGGAACTGTTTTCCATTGTTGGTAGAAATGGAAACTAGAACAACCACTATGGAACCAGTATAAAAGTATCTCAAAAAAACTAAAATAGAAATTTCATTTGACCTAGCTATACCTCTTCTACGTATGTTCCCAAAATAATTAAAAACATCTTATTACAGTGATACATGCATACCCATGTTTATAGCAGCACAATTCATAATAGATAAAATTTGGAAGCAGCCCATATGGCCAACAGATGAATGGATAAAGAAGATGTGATATTTATATACAGTGAAGCACTATTCAGCTATTGAGAAGGACAAATGTGAGTCATTTGCAGGGAAATGGATGCACCTTCAGGCCATCATGCTAACTGAAACAGTCAGATGTAGAACCATAAGTATCACATGGTTCCTCTTACATGAGAAACTCAAAAGATAAATAATTTAACGAGCAAAAGAAAAGACAGGTGATAGGAAATAGGGAGGTAGACTTTGTGGAGATGGAAAGGAGGCCCAAGAGAGGTGGGGAAAGGAGAGGACTAGAAGGAAAACAGAAAGTAAAAATTAGTAAGGTGCAACATGTATGTCTACTAATCCCCCAAGATGAATACAATTATTTTGTATAGCAAAAACATACTGATTTTAAAAAGAGTTAACCCATGGGGTCATGTGACATGGGGGAACCCCCATCTGCAAATGTTTTCTCTGGTTTCCTAGTGGCACTCCACGCTCCTCCCCATAGCTTTCCAAGAACAGATACCCTTGACCCGCACCCACAGGGCTCTGAGGCCCATCATTCAGTACCAGATGCAACCTTGACTGCTGTACTGTGCCCATCTGTGACCCAGGTCACAGGTGAATTTGGTGCAGCTCCCCACCTAGCAGATAATCCCTCTGTGTGGTTGGAATTAAGCCTTGCAAGCACCAGATAAACAGTATCTCTGTCTTAACCACGTCTCAATTCAGCCTTCTTCTCCACTGTAATGGCTGGGAATCCCCCCAAATTTAGAGTTTCTTATCCTTCTTCAGGAAGGGTGAACCCCATCCTATGAGACTCCAGTTATAAGCCTTAACAGCTGATTGTCACAGCAGCAGGATGGGTGGGTCTGCATGGACACACAAGGCAGACACTCTGCTGGCATGGTAGATGGTTCCAAGTGAAGAACAGCTGACTTCATGGGACTCTGTGAGAACAACCAAGCCTGTGAGACCGGGTCTGAAGCGAGCGACGCCCTCTCAGGTAGGCGGTGTTTTGAAACTCCGTAAGTGGCACATGGCAACTGTAACCACACATTAGTCTGTTAACTGTCTCCTCAGTGGTTTACCTCCTGTCTTGTTGGGCTACACTGCAAAGTTCCAAGACCCTGAACTTCCCACTGGGTACTTTTGTTTCAGCACTTGTGTGGTAACCCAATCAGTGCAATCTTTCATGAACACCCACATGTACAGTAATTAGTTCCACAGATTGTGGGACAAAGCTGCCACACATAATTTTAATGAATGGAAATTACTTTATGGCATCTGATGTTAAGTGAGTTGGGCATAGACAACCTGAGTTTGAAAAAAAATCATTGATTCTATTTCTTTTCCTACATGGCTGTGTCAAACATTGTGTTCCCATGGTTCTAGGCATGTCCCCACCCCAACACATGTCCAGGATCCATCCTATGCTTTAACTTTTGGAAGCTACTGAGAATTCTCTTTGTTTTGCCCAGTGAAAAGTCCTCCCTTCTCCCTTGGGTCTTCCTTCTAGAACTTTAATTCCCACCTTTAAAAACCACCTGGTCTCTATCCCACTTCCGTCTGGCCCCTTCACTATCAGCAGCTGGCTGGTTGTCAGAGAGGAGAGTTGCAGGGATTCCTTCTCAATCACTCATTTGCTTTTCTGCCCAAAGAGTTGCTTCCCATCCTCTGGGTTTTCTGGAGGACTCTAGATTTGGTTTTCCACCAGACTCCTATAGTATATGCTCAATTTACAATCACTCCAAATACCTGTTGAGTCAAGATGATAGAAGCTCCCCTTTATGATAACTTTAACTTGCTCTTTCAGAGCCCTGTCACACTCAGGAGCACAGATCTCTTCTCCTAATTGGAGTGAAGGGCTCAAATTCTGTAAGTGTTTCTTGGAAAACCCACTGTTGGCAGTGCGTTTGTCTGCTTATTTACCTCCCCTGCCAAGGCTGCCATCTTACTGATAAATGTCCAGGGAACCCTGTATATGTTGCCATACAGTTCTTTAGGGCTTTGAGAACTGCTATGGATGCTCCCCAATCTCTCAGACATGCTTCAGGGAACCCTGGCTGGCACAAAGCCTGGCCAGTGACAATCTTTGCTCTGACGAGGCATTATTAAGTAACGAGTGAAACACTGGTGTCTTCATCTGTTCCTGCTACTGTAACAAAATACCACTGACTGGATAATTTATAAGTAAAGATATTTATTTCTCATAGTTTCAGAGGCTGGAAAGTCCAAGATCAAGAAGCTGATAGACTTGGTGTCTGGAGAGTGCTTGCAGCTGTCTTCACATGAAGGAAGAGACGAGAGACAAATTTAGTACCTCAAGCTCTTTGATGAGGGCACTAATCCCATGCATAAAGAATGAAACTAATCACAACCTAAAGGCCCCAGCTGTCAATACTGTTGCCTTGAGAATCACACCGTGAACTGTAACTTCAGACCATAAGATCTGGGTTCCCAGTCCTCAGTTAGGGAACAATATCTGAACGTTTATTCAGATGGCTCTAGAGCAACTTACCCAGGCTTGGCTTTACCTGCAGAGCTTGACATATATATGCTTCACATAAAGACATGTTCATCTGGCATGACATCAGGCTGCTCAGCAAGATTAGAGTGGGCACTTTGGAATCCAGAGATCACCAAATGTGAGATGACCATGCATGTGCCTTTCAACTGCCCAGCCTAAAGTTCTCTTCTTAAGCCTGAATCAGGAATTTGCTCCTCCCCCTCTTTTGCTCACAGCCCGAAGATTCTGGTTTCTTTCCACTTTGTCAGCCACTGCCATCTCCACCTGGAATCTGTGGTATTTTTGTGTGTCAGCAAGTCAGCCACAATTCTCACAGCTTCTTCCCCAAAAATGAGCACCGAGGGCTTTGGTGCTTAAGTTTTATTTATTCATTGTTCAGAGAAAACAGGGACAAGTTGAGGTTAGAAATTTGTTCATTACTAGCTCCTGATGAATGTACCGGAAAACTTTTGACAACCAAGATTTCAGCTCAGTACTTTATTTCCAAGGATAGGACCGACCACCCTCCTCCATCTGACACAGCCCGAGTGTCTCTGGGAAATCTTGTCTCCAGCCTCAAAGTATAAAGTGAGTAATACATATTGCCTTGCTTCCATGGGGAATCTGCCTATCTAGAATGATCCCTTTAGATGTTTTCTTAAGTCAAATGTAATCAGCACCCCGTGGCCCCCTCTTTCACTAACAGCCCCCCTCGGACCCTTGGAAGAACAGATGGGCATTCTCACCATTTCATCCCCCTGGAGCGACAGAACCATGACTCCATTTCTGCTGATTAGCTTCACACGTCAATTTGACTAGGCTGTAGTATGCAGCTAGTCAGTACAATATATTATATTTTGCTGTGAAAGTATTTTGTAGATGTAGAAAACATCTGCTATCAGTTGACTTTAAATAAAGGCGACTGTCTTAGATACTGTAGATGGGCTTCATGTAATCAATTGAAAGCCTTAGAGTTAAAAACAGATTTCTTAGAGAAGAAATTCTACAAGAATAGTTAGGATATTCAAATCACACACTGCAAAACATGACAAATTCAATTCTAACCCCAGAAACTCCAGCCCTGATGTCAAAAGGATCTACAAATACTGATTTCCATAGCAGCTGTATCAGTTCACAGTCCTGCCAACAATGGAGAAGGATTTCATCCTCACCAGCGTGTTGGTTGATTTCTTGATGACAGCCATTCTGGAGTGAGATGGAATCTCAGTGTTGTTTTAAATTGTACTTCTCAAATGGCTAGCAATGTTGAATATTTTTCCATGTAATTATCATCCATTTGTATTCCTTCATCTGAGAAGTGTCTATTCATTTCAGATGCCCATTTTTAATTGGGTCTTTAAATATATTCTAGATGTTAGTACTTTTAGGAGTAGCTGGCAATTTTTTTCTGTTACAGGTTTTCTTCGCTATGAAGAAGCTCTTTAACTTGGTGTGACCCCATTTTTTGATTTGTGGTATTATTTCTTGCAAATGGGCTTTTGTTCAGAAAATATTTGCCTATACTTATGTCTTCAAGAGTTTTACCTATTTTATCTTTCAGCAGATTGTTTCTGTTCTAATGTTTAGATCTTTAATCTATTTTGATTTTAGTTTAGTGCATGATGAGAGATCTGTGTCTAGGTTTAATCTTCAGCATGTGGATAGCCAGTTTTCCCAGCACCATTTGTGAAAGAGGCTATCTTCTCTCTAGTGAAGAGATTTGGCCCCTTTGTCAAAAATAACATATCTGAGTGTGCCTGAAGTTGTTGGTGTATATTCTATCCTGTTTCATTGATCCACGGGTCTTCCCCCCTCCACAGTACCATGCTGTCTTTATCCTTGTAGCTTTGTAGTATAACTTAAAGTCTGGGATTGTGATGCTCCCTGCCTTGCCCTTGTTGCCCAGGATTGCTTTTTGGTTCTGTATCAATTTTTAGTCAGTTGATTTATAACAAAGATGGTAAGACTATTCAATGGAGAAAGAATACAATGTCTTTTCAACAAATGGTGATAGGAAATCTGGATAGCTACACACAAAAGAGTAAAGCTGGACCTCTAGCTAGCACCATATATAAAAATTAAGTCAAAATGGGTCAAATCTAAATTTAAGGACCATAATTATAAAACCCTTAGTAGGAAAAAGGCATAAATCTTTGTAATGGTGGATTGGACAATATTTTCATAAATGTAACACCAAAAACACTAGCAGCAAAAATAAATTAAACTTCATCAAATTAAAAATTATATTACAGAGGACACTATCAATTGAAAAAGTAAAAAGATAACCCATTAGAATGGGAGAAAATATTTCAAATTATATGTAGTACATGACTATATCAAGAACTTTTAAGTGCAATAAGAAGATAAACAATCAAAATGGGCAAAGCATATGAATAGACACTTCTCAAAAGAGTATGTACAATAGCCAATAAGCACATAAATGTTCAACATCACTAGTTATCAGAGAAATGTATATCAAAACTTCAGTAAGATACCATCTCATATCCAGATAAATGGCTATCATAAATGACAGTTTAATGAAAATGGAGAGAAATTAGAACCCTCATGCACTACTGATGGGAATGTAAAATGGTACTGCTGCTTTGAACAACTAACTGGCAGCTCCTCAAAAAATTAAACATAGAGTTACCATAGACCCAGCATTTACTCCTAAATAGGTACTCATCAGAAACAAAAAGAGGGCCAGGGATTTAGCTCAGTTGTTCTGCCGACTGCTTCGCAAGTGCAAAGACCTAAGTTCAATCCCCAGTACGCCCACAAAAAAAAAAAGAAAGAAAAAAGAGATGTTTACATGAAAGCTTATATACACATGAATGTTCCTAGCAGCATTATCCACAATAGCCAAAACATGGAAATGGCCCAAATGCCCATCAACTAATGAAAGGATGAGTGAAATGTAGTAAATCCAGCCATAAAAAAGTGAAACCCCATACATAAGGAAACATCATGTTCACCTTGCTCTGTCATGGATGAATCTTAAAAATATGCCAAATAAAAGAAGCCAGTCATGCATGGTGAGTCATGGATTATAGCAAATGCCCTTACTATGGAAGTGAATAGAAACAGAAGGTAGATTAAGAGTTGCCTAAGAATAGTGGGAAAATAGGCTATTTCTGGCGAAGTAGGGTTTTTTTGGGGGGTGATGAAAATATTCTAAAATTTATTGTGATGACATATACCTTGATATATTAAAACCATTGAATCATAACTTTAAATAGGTGAGTTGTATGGAAACAGAACATCATGATGGAAGGGTATACAGAGCAGAGCTGTTAATCACAGCAGCCAGGAAGCAGAGGGGAAAGGAGAGAAACAAAGACCAGACCAGGGACAGATACAGTCCCCAAGTTCATGTCCCCATGATCTACTCACTGCTAGGCCTCACTTGAGGTTTCCATCATATCACATCGATGCCATCAAATTATGACCTCATTGGCTAGGGATGGAGGCGCACATCTGTAATCCCAGCACTCAGAAGGCTGAGGCAGGAGGATCACTATGAGTTCAAGGCCAGCCTGGGCTACATAGTGAGTTCAAGGACAACCTGAACTACATAGTGAGACCCTGTCTCAAAACGAAACAAAACAAAAATTAAAACCTCATAAATGGATCAATCTACTTGACAAAGTTAGAGCCCTCATTATTCAATCACTTCCCAAAAGCTGTCACCAAACCCTAGAATGTTTCAAATCCAAATCTTAACAGCAAGTTTTTTTTTTTTTTTTTTTTTTTT